AGATAGAAGCACAAAGTGCTTTAAAACCACAACAGGGAAACCAGAATTTCACAAGTAAAGATAACCAAATTCCAAAAAATTCATATAGAAGCATATATCAGACAGATATCACTGGATTCTAAATGATAGTGTGTTTTAAAACCTTCATAGGAGAAACAAGAAATCACAAAAACAGTTAACAGCACTCCAAAGAAATCATCAAACCATATTTAATAAACGTTAAGATTGACATCACAATATTAGAATTTACACAAGACCTATAGAGCTTCTAATGGAGCCACTCTTTTAAAAAGTTGAGAAGTGCATCTAACACAAAAAACAACAGAAGAAAAAAAAAATGATAAATTCATTACCATCTGACGAGAATTTTGGTTCCTTGAAGATGGAATGCCACTTCTGTTTGATGGAGTAAAAGAATTGCTATTCACAGGCCTAGAATGTCCATCAGAATATGTAGCATCTTGCCATGGTAGAGGAGACTGTAGCCCATCAAAAGCAAATCTTGGATCCTGATACCCTGAAGCAACGCCCCCAGGCATGGTACCTCTCCCATATGACCCATTCATATTGAAGGAAGAGTTCTGATATGCAGGCCTCAAAGGAGCCGATCCAATATTTCCCTTTATACCCCCACCAATTGCATTGCCATTAGAATTAGCATTAGCAGAATCCACAGTCAAAGTTGCTTGATCAGCAGCAGCAGCAGATATTGGTATCTCACCTTTGGCAGGGGCAGCAGGAGTAGGGTATGGACCACTCGTCAAAGGCTGGAAATATGGTGTAGGATACTGGTAGTGTTGAGCACCATATAACTGACCATCATGTCCCACAGTTGGCACTGGGGAAGTAGCAGGTGAATAAGGGCCATATGGAGTGTAACCATACCCATGCTGATACACAAGTGAACTATTGTCCCCATACACTCCCTGCAGTATTTGAATAGGCCCAAAAATTAAAGACAATAACTAAGAATTCATTTCTCATCCCAACTAAGAGAGAAGGTAGCTATACACAAAACTATCAGTGAACAAGCAAAATTAGAGGAAGTAGATGTACTTCACTAGAGCACAACAATACAAACACACACAAAAAATACAAATTAGATACTATAAAAACTTACAGGCATCTCAACTCCTTCTGCATTCACATATCTAGGGTATCCCTCCCACTCATTGCCTGTCCCATCATATCCTAAAGAGAAGATATACAAAACAAAAGCAGCAATTAATACCATGGACAGCTACTTATCTCTACACGTGCTGAGATCTAACATTGCAAGGAGTTAATACCTCCATAATAGTATGGATAACCATTAGGAAGATAGCACAGAGTTGGATCCATGAAATCTGGTATCAAAGGAGAAAATGACCGATCAGCCGGCTGGATCTGACCATTAGCAGCATGGGTTGAATCAACCGACACCTGCAGAAATGGAAATTCAATATCAGTTTTTACAGCTATAATAAAACTAACAAAGGGCAGCTGTAAGACTGTAATCACAAGTGACCACTATCTAACCTTCTTGGTTGGCTCAGGAATTTCCAATGCTTTGGTCTGAGAATCCAAAGACAACGATTGCAGAAGTTCTGAAGTTTCTATGGAAGTGAAAGTAAAGGAATTCATGTGCCTGACTCCAAATACACGACAAACCCACCAGTAGTATATTCAACTAAACAAACAAACCAGCATAAAGCATACCAATGAATTCTTTTCCAATTTATACTACACACAGCATAGTAAAAAGCACATCTTAATTCAAAACGTAAAAAACAATTGGTGGAGTGATGAGAAACGACCTTCCACATTACACCTGCGCATAAATTCCAACCTACCAACCTAAAAATCTCTGAAATTTCACAAAAGCCCTAATTTTTTTCAGAAAAGAACCGAAATTTTAAAATTGAAATTAAAATTAAAATTAAAGCTTTAATAGCAGCTGTATACCCGAAAAAAGCAACTAAAACCTCTAGGAAACAGACCAGAACTTCAGAAAATAAGAACAGATTAGACAAACACAGATCTACAACAAACCCACATAAGGCAGATCTCAACAGCCGTAAACAGCACCGAAACTTCTGCACCAGCCCCAAACATGTATGTACTTATTAATACATACAACATGGTGAACCACACACAAAACGAATCAAGCTGTACGCAACAACAACAAGAACAACAAGGATACGATCTGCGGTGGGAGCAACTGCAGCAGCCATGGCGCGATCGATAGATCCTCTGGGGAAACCCTAGCGAGGAGGAGGAGGAAGAGGAGCAGTGAGGTGTATCAGCAGCAGCCACGAAGTGCGGGCGCGCAAAGGAGGAGAGAGAAACAAGGGGGGCGAGGGTTTGGGGGTTTTTAGAGAGAGAAAGCGGAAGGGGGAGGGTTTGCGATTCCTTTTTAAAAAACCAAAATTACAAAAAGTAGGTGCGATTCAAAAAACGCCGCGGATTCACTTGTTCCGCCCCCTGTATTTCTCGGGAATTCGAATTCCCACCCCCTTTGTTTACCGTGACCCGCGGGTGACGGTTCTTAACGCGTGGCGTCCTCCTACAGGTCCGCGTGCGTCATCGCTGGGAGGTAGGGTGAATTTTATTGGTCCGTGAGGCGGTTGCGGTGCGGTGTGGGTGTCGTTTTTGGGATTAGATTTTGCCAGGGTGGCAGGGGCCAAAAGGGAGAGAAATGCAAATAGGAATTGAATGCCATGACCCCTGATTACAAAAGGACAAAAATGTCCCTGTCCTGGATAACTCCAGCTTTTAACTCCGCGTACTATTAAATTTTTATTTATCTCAATATTTTATTATTAGTTAATTAGTTAATTGTTTAATAAAAATATCTCGTAATAAATAAATAACTATTTAAAGAGAAAAGTGTAATTTATGCACTTCTAAAATATGTCAATTATCAATATCATTCCTGAATTATTAGTGGGGTAAATGTTATCTTTCAATTTTTCTTTCGTACGGTACTAGAGTAACAATATATGTACCGTTTTAAAAATTAATAGACAACATTTACACCACTAATAATTCATGAATGACAGTGATAATTGACAAATTATGAAAGGACATAAATTACAATTTTCCTATTTCCATAATTTAATAATACTTTTTTTTGTTATTTATAATCCCTCAACTATTATATACACAATAGTTGAGATTTAATTCATATTTTTATCACATTTAGATCATTAGTTGCAATTTTTATTTTTATTTTTTTGTTATATTTATACACTTACCACACGTGATATCTAACTATTAATTTTATCATATTTTATGTACGGTTTTGATTTTTTGTCATATTTGATCATCCAGGTTAAATGTTTGGCAATTGATTGTCAAAATTCAATCCTCCTTAATTGAATGTGGTGGGTAGTTATTGGATACTTGATTGGGATAAATAAATTTAGTACAAAATTTAAGTTGTACACTAAATATGATGAAATTAATAAATGTGACAAATGTGTAATAATTGATGGGCCAGAATAGAAACAATTTAATAAAAATACTAATAAATTAAATAAATTAAATGACACATCAAATGAGATTTTTACTATTAGGGGCAACTTTAATATTTTGCATATTATTACTTTTGTAAAAAATCTGACACACAACAAATCTACATATTATGCCTTATTTTATTTTATGTGGTGTGTTCGATTAATGAATTTAACTCAAATTATTTTTAATTTTGTTAATATTAAATTTGTAGCTCAAGGCATCTCTGTGACACTCCCAAATGAGAGATCACAAGATATACACTACAATGTAATATTGTATTATAGTCAATAGTACTATAAAAAAAAAAAAGTAACGTTATTATATAACATTTATATGGTTATAAACTACATTACAAATATTATTAAGTACACAAATTTAAAATTAAATTTGATTTTTTAAAAAATATAAAACAAACAAAAAATTATTAATTTAATAAATAAATATTAAATATGGCGGATAAAATATAACAAAGTGAATAACATCATATGTTTGGATAGAAAGTCCTATACTCAAAAGATTTATCAAGTATAAATGAAAAGCAACCACAAATGAGTGTGATTTTAATAGTTTGATTAACATTGTGCACCTTAAAACAACATTATCAATGAGTATTTATTTAACGGGTTATAAAAAATGGATTTAGGTGGATGAGAGATAGAGAGAGAAAAAAAATAAGTTCTCCCAGCAATCATTAAGATTTGTTCATGATTTGTGCCTCACACGTGAGACGCCGCTAGGCGTTGCCACTTTGCACTTTAGATACTCTCATTTTTTTCTTATTGATCTCATTGTTTGATTCATATCGAGTTTGCTTACCAGTTCTCTTAAGATAATGAGTATGTAATCTTTTAAAAATATTATACATGCAAAAGGAATCATAAAAATTAATAGTTCATCAATCACATACAAGCCACAATTCAACACCAATTTTCTAATATATATTTTTTTTTAAATCCAAAGTCAAGATTCCATAGGCATCAAGTCATCACAAAAGGGGGATTATTAAGATGGCTAAGTAAATTACATGGAGAATGGGATATGCATTTGAAAATTGGTTAAAGTAAATATCTTCGTGTGTAAGGAACAGAAATGTCGTTCCAGGTGGGAACATTTATGAGACTGAAAACAAATTGGACACTTTTGTAGTTTTGTTGGTTGGTGATTAAATGGGCTTGAACCATTGTCCTTTTATGGGCCTTATGAGTGTATGTAACCCACGAACTAATGGGCTAAACTTCACTTAGCCCAAATTGGGTGTTTTTCATTTAGGCACATGTTTGTTGACTAGTGTGTTCATTATGTTCTTGTAAATAATCTGTGATGGAATAGAAGTGACTCATTCATCATTAATTAAAAATTAAGGGTTCGATCATTGATTTTGAGTATGGAGCAACCTTAACTTTTCAGGTCAGTTGTCCCACTTAAAATAGTTGCCTATAATTTAACGAGAAAATTAGTCAATATGTCCGACAGCGAGTATTGCTCAAGTAATTGTTCTTTGGTTTGCTGAAAACTTTCCCCCTCTAAATTTGATAGGGTTGGGGAGACAAGTCCAAAGGTTCCTAGGGAATAACTAGGTGGGCCAAGACAATTGGAGTGGTAATTGGATTGAGTGTTGAAGAATTAAGGTCAATTTACAAAAATTAGTCAAATGTGGAGATCAAAGTAGGGTGTTCAAAAATTTATGATGGGCCAATTAATCTATCAAAATTATTCTACAAGTCCATTAGTCATAGTCATTGTCACACTTAAAGATAAAGTTTGAAGTCCAATCTCTATTGACTTTATTAGTTTGAGTTGGTTAATTATGAACTATTTATATATAATAATTTGTCTTTATTTTGTGATCGTTTGTCAATTATGATTATAATAAGTAATTTACCTAATGTACATATTTATTAGTGATTGTGAATTCCCCTCTTCATTTTTTTTTTTTTTAGATTGTAGTTATATGTTATGAAAAATTGAGAGAATTGTTTTTTTTTTCTTTTATCTTTAATGGTATTCTTACAAGTGTAAGTCATATTGAAGTTAGACACGTAATTAGCTCACATTTCCGCATTAGAACATTCTATGATTATGAGGTTTGGATATTGTGCAAAGTGTGCAACCCACTACAACCCTAATCTCATACATCCCCCCAACACAATTACACAACCCACCCCCGGGATGCAAATACCGATTTCGAATCGTCCAAAAACAGGGACATTAAGTGTGTGTATGTATATATACATAAGATCAACGTTCATGATTAACAAATTTTTTTTAAAAAAAAGGTGGTGACAATTTGATATTTTTGCATTTATGTTAAAATTAATGTGCGTGTTTTTCTTCTTAAGACACATGATTTTTGTGATGTGTGCTTAAGGTGCGTTAGTTGTTGAAAATTTTAGTGCGTTAGTCTAAAGTTTTATATGCGTGATTTTCCTTCTTAATTAAGTTGCGTGATTTTTCTTATTAAGGTGTGTGATTTGTATGCTTAAAGTGCGCCGCCCTAAAGCTCTAGCTGCATGGCTTTCGTTCTTAAGGTGCGTAAATTGTTAAAAACTTAAGTGCGCCAGTCTAAAGCTTTAGGTGTGTGGTTTTCATTTTTTAAGGTGTGTGGTTTGTGTGCTTAAGGTGTGCAAATTGTTGAAATTTAAGATGCGTCGGCCTAAAGTTTTAGGTGCGTGATTTTCCTTCTTACGGTGCGTTGTTTTCCTTATTAAGGTGCTTTGCTTTATTTCTTAAGGTGCGTTGTTTTTTCTTCTTAAGGCACACCATTATTACAGCTTTTTTTTTTTTTTCATTCAACAGTACAATTAACTTTTGTAGTTTTGGTTCCCAAATTCAAAAGAAAAAAAAAATGATAGCAGCATAATAACAGATGGTGGAATTGTTATCTTTGGAGTAAATATGAAGAAGATGGATGCAGGCGTTTAAAAAAAAAAAAATGATTTGAACCGTTGATCTAGAGGCATTATGAGTAGATCATAACTATATGATGCATATTTAATTTCGTACTATACTTAAATTAATCATTGTTTGTACATGATTGACCAATTAATGAATAAAGTGTTTGTTATATTGATATTTTTCATATGAGAGGGGTTTCGAATTTCGTGAATATAAGGAATGATAAAATTCAGGAGACATATCATACATGCATAACATCATCACTCCGCGTATAAACAGTTGGAAATGAGTAATTTAGATTTCACCATTTCTTTATATGTCGCTGCCGATATTAATAGTCACATCCAAGCTTGCTAGCTTCTACGTGTATGCCTTTGTTGATAACAAAGTGTTACTTTTGCTAACGTTATTTCATTTTTAAACAATTTTATAAGGTCGGATTCAACCTACTTGCAATTTTGTTGCATTATATTATATTATATAATACTAATACTAATAAATAATAATAATAATAATAATAATAATAATAATAATAATATAGTCGGCCGGTTGCGGTCTTCTCGACCGTTTTAACATAATATTTGAAGCTGTCATTTTCGTATGGAAAAAACATAGTACCTGCTGCTTGTTGAGACAAAAAGTCAAAGACTGACGAAATGTACGATTGAAAAGTTTGTCGGATAATAACAATTTTCTTCGAGAGCTTTGGCCTAAACTAGTGATCTTAACTAATTGAATATGAACAAACGAAAGTTGTTCTTGTTCATTTATTACAATTTTTGGAGTGTTTATATTTGTTTGTTAAGGTTTTCAAAAATTATGTTCATATTCATTTGTTAAGTGTTTATTAATTTTCGTAAGAGCACATTCACGAACATGTTCGTTGATGTTTATAAACGTGTTCATGAACACGTTCACATGTGCTTAGTAATCAAACACATGCTCATGTTCATAACCATAATTATAAACAATAAATAATATATGTTCACAAACAATAACCAACTAAACAACACAATATATATATATATATATATATATATATATATATATATATATATATATATATATATATATATATGTGTGTGTGTGTGTGTGTGTGTGTGTGTGGGGGGGGGGGGGGGGTGTTTAATTGTTGGTTCATAAACATATTCGTAAACATTATTAAGCGAACACTAAATGAGTTTGTTCGTGAACATTATTAAATGAACACAAACGAGCTTGTTTACGAGCTCTTAGCAAACAAGCCTGCAATTTTGCATACTCTATTCATTTATGAAACAAGCTATTAAATTTGTCCATTTATGTTCAATTACCTTAATAAATGAACACTTACCAAACACGAACACAAGTAGTTTATCAAAATCTCTATTCGTTAACATCCATAGCCTAAACCCCCCATGTGAATTAAATATGACCAAATATGACTTGATCAAGTGAGAATAATGTGTGTATTAATCTAAATAACTACCATGTAGTGTGATGATATATCGGTTATCATCCCAAATGAATGGCCATAGGTTCAAATTCTGTTGGTAGGAGTTTAGATTTTTTTGGACTGAAA